CTTAAGGCGTTCACACGAGGGCACTCAATTGCACAAGAACATAGGAAAATTAAGAGGCAAATGATGTTTCTTAGTCTGGGGCGTTACACGAAAACAACTAAAATTTGGTAACTTTTCATTGTAGCACTATTAAACATCAGCGCAAACGAACTACACTTATTCAGTCGGATTATTCATGCTTTTACGTGTTCCGTTTTTTTATTTTATTTTATTTTTAACAGACACAGAGTCAAATAGGGTAAAAAGTTCCATCAAAACGGCTCCAAGACATCTGTATATGTTTACAAAAATTAGAAATAGTTTTTTCTTCTTCAGTTGTAGAAATCTGGAAGTCAGGTAAAATTCATAGAAACTGCAATGTTTACAAATACCGGAAGTCACGCATCATACTGACCCGTGATTGGCTTATTTACCGTTTAGTCGCAGGGACTAGTCGCACAAACAGTTCACAAGAAGGGAAAAACATTTGTTTCATGCCACAAGTCCCTACGATTGGTCGCAGGGACAAAATTTTGGTCCCTGCGACCACAGAAATGTGTAGTTCACACGAAGGGACTAGTCGCATGAAACTGGTCGCTGGGACTAGTCGCAGGGACTAGTCCCCTCGTGTGTGCCGACCTTAATGTTGGCGTTTGCTTGTTTTGGTGGTGAGAACTGATTATCTCTACCGAATTGTGGTGGGATTATTTTTTTAATTCAATACCGTAAGTGTTTGATTTTGTTGAAATAAGCACAGATAATAGTAGAGGCTGCGTAGTTTAAATGCTATATGTAAATTCATACCTTTGCGTTGGCAATAAAATTCAAAACGTATATGAGCACGATCCATATGAAAAGGTTGCAAGACTCCTCGTTTGACATATCAAAGATACTCCGAAAGACCTGATCTGTTTTTGCAACCTGTTGCAACCCTTTTTCTTGCAACCTGTTTCATATGTTTGTTGTTGTTTAAAATTCAAAACTTTAGGAAAATCAGTTTGGGTGTGGCTTATGCTCGTTCGCGACCAAAAACAGATGTATCTTTGATATGTCAAACGAGGAGTCTTGCAACCTTTTTCACGTTTGAAATCTACCTCAACAAAAAAAGCAATGACGGTGACAATTTGAAACCTAGGGTGAAGACCAACACTCTTATCATTTCTTGTTAAGGAGCCCGAAGGGCTGCAATTACCAGCACAATTAAAGTTTCTTGTCATACAAAAAATCAGTCTTTTTAAAAACAACTATTATATTCAAGAAATGTTTTGGAATCAGCCCAGAAATTCTATAATTTGCACAAGGCCATCATCATTTGAGTTCCCACCAGTCAAACCAGAACAACTCTGACCACTGCAAAACGAACCTCCTCCCCCTCCAGCTTGGTTTGAGTGGGTACCACTGCCTCCCCCAGAGTACCCTCCACCTCCTCCTGATGCACCGTTATCCTCTGATCCTCCTCCACCACCGCCAAACCCTCCCACTGCTCCTGGTGCAGGCCCGCCATTGTTTCCACTGTTCATGCCACCCGCTCGACCTCCAATCCAGCCTTGAGCAAGTGATCCACCTCTTTCCCCGTGAGAGGTACCTAGCCGTGTACAACCTTGACCAAGCCAACCCGCACCCACTCCTCCATGGTAGCTAGCGCCCTCACTGTTACATTCACCTGGCTGCCCATCTGTACCTCCATTTCGAGCTTGTGACGAAGCTTTCCCCACACTTCTGGTTCCATTTGATCCCACCTGACCATCTACACCATTATATCCACCAGACGCACCCCCTCCTCCTCCGGCCGCTAGCAGCAGCACATTATCTTCAGTATAGACAAAACTTCCTCCCCCTCCTCCAGTGCCAGCATTGTCCTCCACGGACACTCCGAGCTGAGCTGCTGTCTTGTTAGTACTTTGACCGCCTACAACCTCCACCGAATCTCCTCCTCTTTGTCCCACCACAATATTTAGCACTGTTCCATTATTCAGAAAGAAATTGTTTTCTTTCAACGCTCCTTTTCCCCCATAATATGTTCCTCGACTGTCTCCATAATTGTATGAATGTGTTCCTCCCCGAGCGCCCCAAGCTCTGATGAGATAGCAAGTGGTCCGTGTAACGGTAAAGGTCTGTTTAATACCGAAGCGTCCGCTTCTTCCATTGGTTTTAAGATCAAATGTTCCTATAAAACAGATGAAATGCCTGAATGATCGAGTTACAAATGAAATGCCTGTGTAATATATGAAATGAATATCCGCTAAAAATGTAAAATGACTTAAATGCGATAAAATAATAAGTTTATCCTTCAATACGTCGGTGAGTCGATTACTTGGTGAGAAATATGCACTTTCTTAAAAAACCAAATCTCCTTACGGTTTCGAGTTGATCCATCACCAAATAATCCAGGTTTGCAGGAACAGCGATAGGAGCCTTGCGTGTTTTGGCAATCCGTATAAATCGGACAAAATAATATAGATGCTTTGCATTCGTCAATATCTAGAAAATAACACATTAGCAACTAATTTTGTCTCTTGATCTTTGTTTCTCCCAAGCAACATTTAAGAAAAGCCCATCGTACAGCGGAAAGCCTTCATGTTTTTACTTCCTTGTCAATACATTACGCAACTTTCATCTGGACATATCTTCTCCCACGACTTTTAACTGATCAAATAACCGCAAGATCTGCACATCAATCATACACTAACGAAAATTGGGTCAATAGTCAGCATTTGGAAATAGAGGGGGAAGAAATCTAGGGTTGATCGTGGAGGTTCCAACTTAATGATGATTAGTTTAATCGATTTTGCATTAATTCACCTTCCTACCTCTTACTTTGTAAGTCTCAAATAATTAAAAACAAATCAAGAAAAAAATCAAGAACCCGAATCGAAAGAAAACAATGGGAAAATTTCATATCACTTCCACCTGAATTTCTCATTTAAATTAAAATCTAATGAAGTAGTAGTCGAAGACAGCCGACAGAAATAACATCTTGAGAGCTGTATATAATCTGAAAATTTCTTCCATCTCCATAAAAACCGGTTCTACAAGAGCAACGATACGATCCCAGAGTGTTTCTGCAGTCAGCGTTCACATCACAAACGCTAATGGAGGTATTACATTCATCAGCATCTGTCAATGTGTATCCAAATCATTTACATGACAGGACGGAAAAGACTTGTACTGTAAGTACCTCCCGTTGTCCAACACAAAGCTTTAGAAAACTTTTCTAAGGCTTTGTATGGGACAATGGGAAGTACTTACAGTACACGCGTTTTCCGTCCTGTCATGAGAGAAAATATACGTTGATCATACATTCATACATTAATCAGTCTTATATCGTTAATGATACATTCATACTTAATCATAATATATATTCTTCTGACTATGCAATATCTGCTGTAACTGTTTTTTTTTTTGTTTTTTTTTTGTTTTTTTCTGTTTTTTTTTTTGTTTTTTTAGTTTTTATAGTAACAGTTCTTTCCAGGGGTACACCCCACCAGACGATCAGATTTACCATCAACACTTAAGAAGGACTGTACCTGGCACAAAAGCTAACTGTATATCAGTTCTGTTTAATTGTTTCACTCTACCTTCAGTCTTCATGTCACAGTGAGCCAACACAGGAGTGTCCGGTTTGATGAAATTCAACCAGTATTTTCCGCTCACCGCTTGTCCACCTTCACTCGACTTGATTTCCTTACACGAGTCTGCAGGCAGCTCTGGAATGGCACCGAGATGAGCTAGAAAACGAGGAAGTAAAAGAGAGAAAAACCTGATATGTTTCCCCTCTAAAACAGTTGGCCGAATAAAAGTGCCTAAATACTCACCTCTCTTCATATCTCGCCTGAAGTAATATCTCTCAGAGTTCGGTACAAAATCTTCAGGCCTGGCTTCCTTCGTGCGGTCGCTAAGCTCACACTTGTCTTGGGTGAACACATAATTAAAGCTTTGGCATCTGACGTCACGATAACATTCCAGAAGACACACATCGCTAAGTGCTGCTCCAGTGATTGTTTTAAAGATGTGGTTTTGAAGCATCATGCCAAAGATGGAGACTTCACGTGTATCACTGTTGTACTGAGTAGATACTGAATGTAACAGTGCCAACAGGAAGAGGAAAACCGGTAAATGAAAGAACTCTTGGACCACCATTGTGTTTAATCTCTCCTGTAATGAAATTATAAATTTTGAGCGCATAGTAGTACCGAATATATGGCCGTCAACAGAAAAACAAGGAATAAAATCCTGCAGAAGCTATTATTTTTCAGCTTTGTTTTTTGCAGTATGACATATCGCACACACACATGACGTGCGATTAGTGACACGCATACAAAAAATTTAAAGCGTGCTTCGAAAAGGCGTGCGTGAGATATGGCATCGGTCGATAGGCAGCGAAAGAATTACGTATTTCTCCAGTTAAAAGTTTTCAGAGCTTCTTAAATGCAAATACTGAATGGCAGAAATATTTTTTACTAAGTACATCGAACGGTGACCAAAAGAAGCACAAATCTAATCGTAATTCATAAAGTAAACTGACCTTCATAAGGCTCATTCCCATACGCATTTAGCAACTGTTTTTGACTGATGCAAACATTTAAGTTATTCTTTCAAATAGCACACTGTTCACCTCCTCTTTTAAGAGCCTACCTGAGTAAGTATCAGTCCTTCCTCACTTTTCAAGATCGATAAAGAGATTGGTATGGGCAAAATAACTTTAAAAGTTAGCTGGCGTTGAAATTGAAACTTTCTACAGGCCACAACATGCACGAGTGGTGTAACTATGTAACAAGATTTACGCAAATTTTCTCTTAGTGCCACAAGCAGACTTCCTCAGACCAACTTTGGCCGAAAGTTAAAACATGATATCCTAGCTTCGATGCAAATACACCGTTTTATATTCTAAGAAAATATCTTAGAAAATGTTAGACTTTCAAAACTCGCTTCCTTCACCTTTCCTTACAACGAAATTTTGATTGTAAGGGAGGGCAGTATGGAAAAATTTTTGGCGTCCACGTTAGGACAAAAACTTTTTCCGGCCTCGCTCGCGCCATTGTGCTAGGCCCTCGTATGAAGGTTTAGTCAAAATGTCTTCCAGTGAAAGTGCTTATTTTGCGAGATGTAACCATGTATTTATTGATTTTAACGACAATGAGACGATGAAGGTCATTGTCTAACGTATTGATAATTATTCCTGCTCTGCCAATCGATTAAATCCATGGCTGGGAAATGCATCGAAATCTCTAATCATGCAAAGAAAATAGGCTTAACTCTCAATAGTTAGATGATTTAAGAGAATCATGCTATTGACACCTGCAAAACATATTTCTAGCACCTTCAAAATATAGCTGAGATAAGAAATTATCATGATAATATAAGTTTTGTTCTGTTGTCTCACGACAAAGTCCCTAGATGTAGAAGGCAAGGAAAGTGAAAGAGGCAATTCACACAAGACTAAACCCAAACAACTTATAGAAGGATAACGGAGCCAAAATCCCAGAAATGTGGATGCCTATAATAAAAAAACATCAAAACCAACGAAGCGCGAAAAATCAGCGATCGCATGAGGAAACCATGGTACATTGAAACAATAGCCGGATCGAAATGGACCAATCACAACGGACCACCATGATACATGATGCTGTGCCGCAATCAGTCGACCCGGTCGCCTGAAGAAGACTTGCAATAAGCGGTCCAAACGTTGCGTTCTACATCTAGTGACTTCGTCGTGAGACAACAGAACAAATTTATATTATCATCCAGCTACCAGAACAAAAATTACTTAACATATAACCTCGGTTCACGTCGACTGCATCAATTACCTATTGGACAGCGGATTACGTACAAGATTTTACATTTTACATATAAAGCACTGAGCGGCATGTTACCGAAGCATCTGCCTGATCTTCTTCAACCATATCAGCACAACAGGAATAAGTCTAATCTGAGAACTAACGGTGATAGAGGCTTCAACGTTGCCACTCTCAAACTTTGGAACTCACTCCCAACCAATCTAAAATAAATTTAATCTCTCATAGTTTTAAAGAATAAGATCAAGAATTTTCTCTTCAAAGAGATTTTCAATCAAGATAACTTAAGGGGATCACAATATGGTACGATTAGGTGCGTTCAACTTTTATAATGATACTGTAACCTTAATTAGTAACAGTTTTGATCTTAAATCATTTAAACCTCATTGGTACGTTTAGTTTTATTTCTGTTTGATCAGAACCTTTCATTGTTTTTCAATCCGTATGATGATATTGTAATTTTAAGTGGTAGTGGTTTTAATTTTAATTGCAAACATTTTAATTGTATCTGTTCATGATATCAAATAAGGATAAAAATCCCATTTTTTGTAATAGAGCTATTTTTTCTTGATGATTTTAACATTCACTTGAAGTCTCCCGTATTATATGAAGAAAATGAAAACATTACAGCTGCTCGATCTCACCCAAATCAGTGTCAACATCCTGAGTAATAACAAACTGATGCGAATTAGTATCCAACAATTATTGTCATTTACTACGATGCTAGTGACCTCAATGAAGACTTAAAGACAACGTCATTCCTACACTCATAATTACCCAGACCAGTGATATAAACGATATAGCTCCACATTTATCACTAGAAATAAGTCAACAGTCTCTCTTTAGCACTATTTAATTGATACAACTGGCCAATATAGAACCGTTGTGGCCAATTTTAGTTCGAATTACATGTATTGTTCGATTCTACAGGGTAAATACTTTATATCGTTTCAATGAACACGGCAACAAAGCGGTGGCTCTTGTTGAGATGAATTTTGCAATTTTACTTCCTGATTTAAAGATGGAAATTAGAAATTCTAAATTAAAACTCCAAGGAAATCAATTAAGGCTCCTGCTACACACAAGTATCCCCTGGTAAGACAACAAACGCTGTGCATTCTTTCCTCGAATATGTTTTTACTTTTGGGTTAAATGAACCTTTCTCTTTTACCATCTGGAATTGATAGATCGGGTCATAACAGGTCGAAGTTGAGCGCTCTCCTGCTTGCTTCTTATTACAAAGATATTTCGTCTGTGGAAATCTAACCAAAGTATGCTCTTTCACAAAGTCGTCCTCTTCTGTAAACTGCAAGTTTTATAGTAATTGGGTGACCAAATAGCCAAGAAACATTGTGCCTTAGAAATAACTCCGGATCGAATAGGAGAAAAACATAAATATACATACTTTTGTTATCCTATTACATTGTCTTTTGTCATTCAAAATTTGTTTTTGGAGAGATATTCTGTCATCGTTTTGTCTAGTACAACTATCTACCAGAAGGAGTAATCAGTATAAGACTAAGTATTTTGTTGGTCTCTTGAATACGCATCTTAAGCTTCTGCTACTTGTTTAACTTGCGACATTTGCAATATTCAGTAAAAGAAAAGCCACGAGCCTTTCTTAGAGAGGCCCTTGCAGGAGTGAGGGATCGCATGACCTACTTTGCATCCTTCTCACTCGAAGTGAATACCTGTGCGAAGCAAGCGAGACTTGAGCACTTTACTT